AGGTGCAAAACCTACTTCTTAATGTAGGTTGAAATTTAGAGTGTTTTAACTGTAGTCATTTAGTGACACAAAAGAGCAAAAGGTCGCTAGTCTGTTGGCCACTAATGCCTCAAATTCAGGAACCTTAAAGTGTTTAGTCTCCTGTGGAGTTGACCTCCTATTTCCTGAAGCCTTTTAATCACTTGGACTTTAAAGCTAATAAAAATGTCTGTAGCAACTTCCACTGTTGGAGAGTTAAGAGCTGGACTTAGTCTACTCTGAGTCACAGCCCTGGTTTCGGGGAAGATTTCTGACAACCATTTTGTAAAGCAGACATTACTGAGGATCTCTGATGTGCCGAATCTCCAGGACCAGACTCACTGGCAATGCAAAGGTCACAGAAATTCTGTGAATCCATCCTTAAGGACAAGCCTCAATAATGGCAGAAGGACACTGCAGTGTGAGGCTCCCTGACTGCCCTTTCCCACTCTTATCAACATGAAAACGGCAGCAAAGCGTGAACCTCATCTATGTCCTCATATTCCTCCTATGACATCTATTTATTTCAGTATTTCCATAGCAACTGCAGCTATGAAATTACCCCAAACTAAGAGAATTTCTAAATTTTATCAGTTTAAACTGAAAGAAAAAGCAATGGCAATAAAGCTACTAATCAAATTAAGTCCTTACATTAGTAAACAGTTTCACGATGTATACAATGTCTTGTTCATTCCTTCTCTTTGAAGACTTGGAAGACATTACTAACTCCTTTTAAAAAATGAGGATACTGGTCCTTGGGAATTAATTAACTTACTCAAGGTCATACCAGGAGAGCAAGTACTAGCTAGAACCTATATATTTTAGATGTCATTTTGTACACCGAGATAACATAGCACTTCTCAATTGGGATCTCTTCACTAATGCAAGTACATAGAATAATCAAAAGCAAGCTTTTTAAAAGATGTATCACCAAAGTAGAAAAGCATTTCATTAATTTTGCTAACAATTATACAAACTCAAAATAACTAGTATGTAATCACATATTGGTTCAGATAATTATAAATAAGCCTCTTCCACAGAGGATAGGTTACAGTTTAACATATGGTCTCATTATTGTTGGTGGTTTAGCAAACTGGAAAAATCCTAAGGAAACTAGCAAATGTTCTCTAAATTGTCTAAAAGTAAGATTGGTAATATAAGTAAAAAAAAATATGCTAAGGAATTCAAAAATTAAAAAAATATTAAATTATACTCATTTATATGCAAGGTTTTTGAAAGTTTTTTTTAAGATTAAATAAAAGTTTGGAAAATACCCAATACCTTTCTAGTGACAAATGGCTTTAAACTAGATCATGTAAACAATTTAAAGATAGACAATTAAAAAAAGTTAAAAATGGATATCTATACACATATTTATATTAAATCAACGATAGAAAATACCAAAGAAAGCATGCATATAATGATTTAGGGGACTGCACTGCCTTACTGAATGAAATGCACCTAATTATAGTTCTATATGTATAAGGGTAAAAGATTCAAGAGAACACAGGAAAATATGAGTCACCACTGAAACAAAGATGAAGATGTTATTGGCATATTTTCCCTCAAATATGTAAATACTTAATTCAATTATGACTTTAAGTTGATCAATAGCCAATTTAAGTAAAAATAAGCTGAATTTATAGACTGGTTGCCAACTACTCAGACTTCAAAAAATCACAGATTCAAATATGTGTAGTTCTTAAACAGAAATATCTTCAGTATTCTGATTCTATCAATGAAGTGAAAAGTGAAAACTGTACCCCAGGCCTGGGTTTTCTCTATTTGATACTGGATATTTGTCAGACATCAATTTCCACCAAAGGATCAACAGCAATATGACTGAGTGGCACAGTAGGTGCTTCCTGTTCCCTGGTCATTGGTTTCCAGAGAGAGATACACAGCCCTGGGCTCTCCTTCATACAAACTCCATCTTCAGAATAAACATGTTTCATCTTACCCTCCTAGTTTCCTCAATCCCCAGTCACCCCCTGAAATAGAGAACTCTCTGCATTTCTAATCTGTCAGCTTATTGGACTTACAAAAGTTAAGAAGAAATTAAAATGCTAAAGCATCCATCGGAGGGCTTGAGTGCTGTTCTGAACTCTGAAATCAATATTGAACAAGGGTCTTTGAGTGAAGCTTAACTGAATTCTGATAAGAATTAAATTACATTTTAGAATCACCATGGATAGATTTCATTAAAGAAAACCTTGATTCAAGGTTCTTATGAGGGAGAAAAGTCAAAAAAGGATGTTAGATTTCCATTATTTGAATTCACCCGGCTCTTCCAAGAATATGATTAAATATCTCTCAGATAATGTTCCCTGTCATAAATACAGTGTTGCAGCCGAAGCAGAAGAAGCTGCATCCTAGAGAGTCACCAAGTCTATGTCTGGAAGGAGATGGAAACCCACACGCTCTAAAAAACCCTTAATTTAGTCAGATTCGACTTTTTTTTGTCTTATTATGTATTTCAGGAAGCACACAAAGCAACAAATATTAAAGAGGCAAGAAATCTTATCAAAATTATTTCAGTATAAAATTCATGCTACCGCCATTGCCTGCTTGAGCCAATGTACTTTAGAAGAACTGTCTTATTTCATCTTCACAAACCTCTGGGGAAATTTCATAATCATTCTATTATAAATATAAAGAAACTAAGTCTGCGATCAAATAACTATACCAAAGAGAGAAAGCATTCGTGATGAAACTGAATTCAGATCCACTTCATTCACACCAACTTACACTGTTTTCCAATATTGCTCATATGAGTCTTAGCTCATAAAAAATAAAAAGAAACACTGATGGAGGCATCAAGAGCATCATTAGAGTGGCAAGAATTAACAATGTGGTCAAAACTGGATGAAAAAATAAATTTAAGAGAGGTAAAAAGACACAAGCCAAGAGTCACTTAGCATAGGGACAAACAGCCATGGTGCTTCTGCAGACTCCTGACATTATGTCACCTAGCTCACTGCAATGTGTTATTTCACAGTAGTGGTCCTAAACCATGGTAAGTGACAGACCACTCGGTCTGTTTATAAAAGGCAGAGGGGTTTGTAGTTTCCTCTTTTCAACAATGATTGCAAAAAGTGACATTGAAAATATCATTATTTGCCAAAGAGGTAAGTTTTTGTTCACTAGACTTTCCATGATAGGTAATTATTCATTCCAGATCAGCAGGGCATTTCTGCAATTATGTTTCAGACAAACTAAAAGGACATGATGTGTGCAGAGAACATGGGACTAGGAGGATGACAACTGGTTCTGACACTAATGATAGAAATCATTTTCCTTGTTTCTGCACCTCTGCATTCTCATTTCTAAAGACAGAGTTAGAGTAATGATCTTAAGATTTCTTTTTCATCTTTAATGTTGAATGACAACATAATGATGTTATAGGTGTTTAAGTAGCCTTTGGAGAGAAAAAATAAACTTGAACCTAGAGCTGTAGAATGAGATCTTAATCTTGAAGAACTCTTAGATCTCAGGTTTGGACTCTGGGCCTGGCAACTAACCAGATGATTAGCTTCTGGGATAACAGCAAGGAAGCTAGAAACTTCTGCAATAAACTCGGATCTCACTGATGCACAAAGTTATGTGTCACATTTAATATCTGGTACCAGAGGTTCCTTTTATGTTAAGACTCTTGGGGAGGCTGGAGGCCAAATCATGCCTCTTTTGTGGGTTTGTAAAATCACTAGTTTTCACCACTAACAAGTGTTAAAACAGATTAAAAACATGTGAAAAGATAGCAAAGATATTTACTTTAGACTACACAGAAAGTTTGTTCATCGCCAAGTTGTTCTATCAAAAGATAACTTACTATATAGATTTAAGTTGTCTAGAAAAAAGCTTAGATAATGTGACTACAAATGTATTTTAGTTACCCAGCTATGCCATTTAAGCACAGTTGTTTTTTCTTCAAAAAAAAAAAAAAAAGAATACATTTGTTAACTTAATGATTATTACTATTTATACCATAACTGTATAGAAAAAGTGTTTGCTTTAGTGAAAAATTATTAGGTGTGCTATGTTGGATTTGGGTAGATAAGAAATTAATTAATTATGCATCATATACGGTGTTGTAAAACAATGTGGTCTCAATTGAAAAAAAAAAGCATTATAGTTTTTCCTACATTTATAGGACGCAGGAGTTTAAAGATCATTGACAAATCCAGAGGTCTACAAAGATACTTCAAATGCAAAGTGAGGCCTAACAGCAGGAGGTGCCACTAGTAGGGGAACTCTTCTGATGCTTCAGGGAGGCGTGTGCTAGCAAATACACGCTTGAAAGCCACTGGAGGATGGTCTTCTAGTGCAAGTCAGCCTCATCCCAATACACTTTCCCAGCTTCATAGGAACACATGAAAAAATGAAGATGTGGTCACACACACACACACACACACACATTTTGAAGTCTAGGGCAAATAAATCTCTGATGGCTATGTGCTACCATCATTTAGCCAAAAATATCTTTGCAGTCATAAAAACATTAATTTGAAGGAAAGCCTGCACTCTTGTGTTTTACTGCAGCATTATAGCTAAATATGGAAACAACCTAAATGCCAAAAAGAGAGAACTAGATCAAGAAGATATGGTATATATACACAATAGGATACTATTCAGCAATCAAAAAAGATAAACTCATGCTCAGTGAAGTAAGTCAGCAGGGAAAAGAAAAATATTGGACAATCTCACTTACATGAGGAATATAACAGAACTCAACAAGGGATAAGAAAATTAAAAATAGCAGGCAAGCTATCAATCAGAGACATTCAGCAGGGGAGATGGATCAACACAATGGGAGGAAGAGCACAAGGGACTATGATCATGGTTCACGTGGTAATCTTATGGGTAGTACATCTTCAGAAGACAAATCAAACTTGTACAAGAATGAATAATAATGTAAAAAGTATATCAATAATTAAATGATAAATATATCTTTGCAAAGCACCTAGGATCAAATCTGAACTTACGATGTAGCAGGGCTCGCAGTAGGCTTTCTTCTCCACAGCATAGAAGGGCTGCCCTCGGAGCTTGTTGCTACAGATGATGCAGGTAAAACATTCCACGTGGAAGACCTGATCCATGGCAGTACATCCTGTGCCTTCCCCAACTACATTTTCCCCACAGCGAGCACAGCGGCCTGAAATATAAAAGGGGAATATTTTTAAGAACCAACCTTGGAACACCTTTAGTCCTTCTGACAAAGTTAAGTTGTGAGGATGGCAGCTTTGTCAAGTCAGCAGCAGCAACAGGACAGCCATGACTGCTATTGCCACCTTGAGGAAGAGCACCAGTCTTGTCATCACTGTCCCTCAGAAGACCTCCATGACGGATCTGAGTTATTTGAGGGGTTAACCTTCAAAGCCAAGTTCTCATAGATAATGATAGAGTAGAACTCCTGTCCCCAAGTACCAAGGCCAGTGTCTGGCTTACATCCCACACTAAGGGGTAACAACAGAACTCAGGACACTAAAAAAACCACCATAGAACAGCTTTTCTTCCTAGTCTGTGTCCAGTTAGATTGGAAGGGCTCTAGGGCCAAACTCAAACTTCAATTCCTTTTACAAAACCTCTGTGTCTAGTGGCTGGTGACAGGTAGATACAAGGACAGTGCTTTTCCAGACTGTTAGAATGTTCTTTCTCATAACAGCCAGATACTTTCTTACAGTAACAGCTACCCAACAGTTCCCATTCTGTTTTCTGGGGTCTCCTCTTTGAGCAGGATCCTTCAGGCTATTTCAATTCATTTAGCATTGCCTCCACGTCTGTCCTTAGTTTCAACACCCCTAAATCCTATAGCCATTTTATATAATGTAGGGTTGTGGGTCACTTACGGCCCTGAATTCTGAAATATTCAGTGTTCTTAAATTGGTACTTGTGGCATCAGGGCCACATATGGACATTAGATTTAATTTCACCTTAAAGAAATTAACAATAAAACATAACTTTAAAATATTTATGTCAGCAAGAGACATTGGACTGGTCATAATCAATGTCAGCATCCAGCTCTGTTATGAGAATATGGAGCCAGAAGTAAGATCCACATCCAATTTTTCCTTCTTATTCCTTAATCCTAGTCAGTCAAAAAACCTTAACAAGTCATTACAGGCCACTAGGACAGTTAGCAAGAACATGTTGGGTTTTACACATAAGCTATAATGAATTTAGTGTTTAAATGTGTAAAGAATTTTATAGATGATTTGTATGTATGAACTCATTTCATATCTCTAACAACTACTAGATGGCCATTACTATTTATATCTTACAGATGAAGAAACTGAGTCATAAAAATGGATAACTGACTTCAAATCCATGCTGTTTGGCTGCAGCACCTGTGGTCCTAACCACTACGCTTTCTTGCCTCTTTATAATTGTGTACGGATTGAACACAGAGCTGACATGGGAGAGTTCACACAGAAGACTGCTTTCAGCACTCCATCACATTAGATTGACAGCCACTTCACACTCAAAAATGGGAGGGTTAAGTATTTTAAATTAGGAGAAGAAACAAATAGCTTCTATTCTCTCAGTTGCATTTGCCCCTGAAAACTATTTCTTATTTCTTGTTGCTTGAATTTATATTTAAAATATAGTACACATTATGTGTAATTTTCCCTCCAAAGGAACAATGAATATCAAATACTAATAAATAAAGGAAGAGTTAAAATTTTGGAAACTGAGCTGCTTCCTCTAGAATTGATATTATTATTATATTCTGGTCATGGGGGAAATAAAAACTATTTTCAATAAGTTTTGTGACTTGTTTTACAAACTTCTATCTAAGAGTTAAACTTGTAGCTGTTTTTGTCATAAAATGTACAACATAGAAAAATCACATTAAAGTTTGAACTTTCATTACCATTAGTAACAAAATTAGGTTATTTTGTATGGCATCATTTTGTGATTATTCAGTAAAAAACAATTAGTTCACTAGAAAGTTCACTGTGCTATGACTGAAAGTGGTATTAAAATTCGGTGAGATTTAAGACTTTACCTGACTTTACATTACAGAAAACTCTGCAATTTAGCTCTAATATAGGCATCATTATACTTAGAATTTAAACTTTTGTGCATTATCATCACATTCATTCCACGATATACACAGTCACAACTAATATTAAGAATAGGATCCTTTTTACTAGAATTTACATTTGTAATATTATATATGAATTGTTATTTATCTTTATTACCATTTTTCCATCTTTAATGATCATTCAAATTACTGATATATTTTGGTGACCTAAAGAGCTAATGAAACATGACAGTAATAAATAAAAATGTTAAACTTAGTAGCCACAGGAAAAAAAAAAAAACTACTGACATGAAAATATTCCGAGTTGAACAGCAAGGATACTGAGCACTGGATAAAGAACACCAGTAATGCAGGCATTGTGACACAGGTGCACTCTTTAAAATGATAGTTATAATGAGCATAAAGGATTCCTATGAAAAGTATGATTTTAGATTTCAGAGTTGTTAAATACAGGTCAAAAACTTATTATTACTTTTCTCCCTTCTGAATCTCCTGTCTGCCAGTATTATTAATGATCTTAGGAGAACTTTTTTTAGAGAACAAAAACTGTTTAGATCAAATGTTAGCTACTGGCCATGGTTGTCTACTAGGCAGGTAGAGGTAGTTCAGATTACCACTCCCCAAAGTGTAATAATGGCAGTCCAAGATCCTGCAGCTACTTGCTTCATGGAGAGTTTGAGAGCTACCCATGCAGATTTGGGAGAGATGCTTTGAAATTCTCATCCCGTTCAGTCGACTTCCCCAGGTATCCACTCTTTGCACACTACGATATCCAGTTTCTGTGTGAGCTACAGAAATGGATGAGTATCAGTCCCCTAGGCAGCAATTCCAGTGCCTATACACAACCTACATTCATATGCCAGAATCAGCAAATGCCATGAGATAAAATGTTTCAGAAATGTGCGATGACAATCATATCTGAGAGCACTCAGGTAGGCTTTGTTGAGAAGGAAGCATTTGAGCCCAGCTTTACAGGATGGCGTTTTGGCAGGTACAGATGGAAGAGAGAAAAACATTTTAGTTTTTCCAAAGAGGGAATGAAAGTGGCTAGGATTATGTGGCCATAAAAGCTGCAGTAACTTGGTGCTGGCATAACAAGGATTTGTCTTTTCAGCTATACAAGCAGATGAACTGTAGTCAGAAGGGAACAACCACCTCCTTTATATTGTGGAGAGTATTCTTCCAGCACGGGTCAGGCTAATATGCTGGACCCAGACATGACTAGTTCAGCTGCCTCCCGTATTTTTCCTATTCTTGGGAGAAATCAGGGACACCAGGCTTGAGGGCAGTCAGTCTGGCACCTTTAAAAATCACAAGCACAGAAAAGGAGTGAAGAACAAAAATTATAAATAGCCTTACACATCAGCAGGACAGTAAAGGTGCCTGAATGTTCCCATTCTCAAAAATGCCTAAACTATGCCTTTTAAGGAGACATCACAATGCAAAGAAAGTTCCTAAAGTAGAGTGCCTCCTTACCCCTAGAGGGGCTTATACTATACATCATTAAAAACAGACCATGATCTTACTCTTTTAGACAAGGATCTTAGAACTTTTAAGCGAGCATATTCAGAAGAATTGAGTCAGATTTAAAGTATTCCAAAGGAAATAGAAGCTCAAGCTCAGACCCAACTCTGGTATGTGCAGCTTATTGGCAAAACTTAGCATAACTTAAAAGAAAGTCTAGGGAGACGTTTGTTGAAATAAAGCACCTGACCCTGGCCTCCCAACCCACAAATACTTGTTTATATTACTGTTCATAATATATATTGCTTTATATTGATTGTGAAATCAGTCATTGATTCTTTTCATGTTCTGACCTCACCCAATGCAAAAAATTCTTTGAAACACTTCCTTCAATATTTCCTCCCCACCACATGTGAGCACCACATGTTCATTACTTCAATCGGTTCCACTATCTTTCATGACCATGACAATGGCTTCCTGCTTGTCCCACTATCTCTGATTTACTTCCTCTTACATGTGGGAAGGCTTTACGAAAGTCTTAGCATTAAGTCCAGACAGCTACACAGAACTTGAACACTGATGGAGGGTGACATTGCAGGCAACTAACAGGTTGAAGAAGGGGGATGGAATTATGGATGCTGGTATTCATAGATTTTGGTTCTGGCTTTCTCTCTTTTGGAAATATGCATTTATTTCCTTTATAACGTGAAGATAAGAATTTTTATTTAATAACCTTTTCCCCTCTGATAAGCATGTAATTAATACAATAGATCCTCTTTGGTAAACACTGCTTATTTTGGATGTGGGCTGGGTTAACTGGTCAGAGGCATTTGTAGAGTGGAGACTATGTGATCAGTGGTGATATCCTCCCAAACTAACATGCTATTCAACATGAAAAATAAGAGTAAATTTATGAGGACATTAAGATCTTATGTGTCTTTGTGTTTTCCTTGTAACTCTTGTTACTGGACATAAAAATTTTAGGTACAAAGTAGTCTATCTTTAAATATTACACTGAGTCAAAAAGTCTATATGCCAAAGGTATTATCAATGATCACTTTTAAGATAGTATAATGGTCACTTTTTATATATTCTAAAAGTTGAATAAAAAAGATATCAGCGTAGTGATATGGTGACAATGTATTCCTAGAAACAGAACTTGCTTCAACTTATCCTATAGCAGGCGATTGCTATTATCTTTTAAAGTAATCTCCATAAAGCTGACTCAGAAATTTTGTTTCACTTAAGTTACAAAAAGATAATAGAAGAAGTTGCATTCTTTCAATGACAGGTCCATACCATATTCACTAAAGGTTCTTAGAATGATGAATGCAGGGAAAATGGAGTAAGTCAGGGTTTGTTTTGCTTCCTGCCACCAGCCCCTAAGCCAGTACCAGCAGCTGCCATTTCCAACCAGGTTTCACTGCCCACACACAGTAACTTGGTAACCTGTTGTTGCAGAAGGTGCCTGGGATTGTGAGCACAAGGCACACGTACCTGTAATTTTGGACACCTGGGCAGAAAAGCCTGTGAGTGTGGTCCCCTGGTTCAGTAATAAAGGCCTGTCAAATACACCACAGGCTCCAAAATTCTTTTTGTCTGTCTGGTTCAAAAATGAACCTGCCCAACCTGTGATGGTTGCA